TCCGTTAAAGACGCAGTTGTGTGACGTGATAGTATGTCCCAAAGCTTGCCTACTCTTCTACTACACACTCAAAAGTGTGTACTTTTTATTGACCAAAAGAGTACATACTTTAAGGATGTAGTATAAGTAGGCACATTGAGATGCAGCACAAAATCCTGTGAAACAGAAAGCCATGGCTGGACAATTTCATGCTCCCAGTCATCCTGGTGTGCTACAATATATCGCACAACAAAAAGTTGTTATCGTGACAGGCCTACTCCCCACTTTCAATTGTTTTACTTCAGTGATTGGTTAAAATTTTGTGAATTTTTTAAATAAAAGATCAAAAGGATAAACAATGCAGATTTATTTTCACAGCCGCCTTTGCTCATATTTACCAAGGTTGCCAATATTAGTGGAGGGCACTGTTTGTGTGGCTGATTTCTTTCAAATTTCTCACAGAGCTTTAGGGCCATGAGTCGGCCCACCATGTTTCATTCCAATCAGCCTCCGTTAACCCCATCTAATAGGTGCTCAAACTTAATTTGCTGATGGTGGCAATGTTTTTCGAGACACACGAATGTGCTCATAGACAGCTGTGGCACTTTGGACACATGATTTTTAAGTCAGTCGGACTAACACATGTTTTTGTCCTATTATAGTGGCCAAACTCCACGATTTTTGTCATGTTACCTCAGATTGAGGTCTTACATATGCATATGAAGTTTTATGTAAATATCTTATTTTGTTGAAAAGTTATAGTTGAGCCAAGGATTCCCATAATATAAAGCCTTCTACACACTGCACGATTTTCGGCTGTGCCAGAGGAAAGATTGGCATCATGAAACAATTGTAGCGATTTCTGTAAAGGTGGCTCCTAAATGGTGGTCTTATTTCGTACAGTGAGAGAGGTTCAAAGACAGCCGTTGTCACGGTCTTGCAACCAAACATAGCCTGCGATCATTTTCTGAAAGTGTCAGAAATTCAGCATGATCATCGCACTGTGTGTTTGCTGCTACGACCCATGTTTACTGACCAGCCAATAAAAATGCAACATGGAATTTAGTTTTTTTAACGCTGTAGCGCCAATCGGGCAAGCCTTGGAGATGTTGTAGATGGGGTTGGGAACTACCATCCTTCAAAGTTTCAAGTCTCTATGCAAATTTACAGTTTGGTCTGCCCGATCACTTTTAGGTCAGAATGGTATTTTCTGAAAATCTTTCAGCGCTACATTTGATCACTGCCCTAATTACTAAATACAGGGAACGGGCATGATAAAGGAGAGGCATGGTAGCAATCACCGGCTCTTCACCTCATCACTGCATCACCTCACATGTAGTTTAAAAGTTATTCCCTAAGATTTAAATCAGAGTGTAAATTAATGGAGCAACAGGATTAAAGTAATCTGACTTAAATTTAAATTTAAAACAAAATGGTTAAAATGTAAGTTTGCTTATTTTAAACAAAGTTTAAAGTTTTGTGTTTAAAATTTAAAATGTTTAATTAATCTAGATATCTTATTGGTGCAACCCACCTTTACTGTCCAACTGATTTTACATTAAAACTCCCAAAAATCTCATAGGAATGTTCATATGAGCCAACAAGACAAACTCTGTCAAAAATGCAAATCTAAACAAAGCCAGGGCCTTTTATGTGCAGAAGTGACTATCTAGATTGTCTTTCTCAGCTGAAGCCAACATAATAAAGAATGAGTATCAAAACTTTTTTTACAGGTGTAGTATTCTAGACTGCTTCAGTGAAAACTGTCCTGACAGAACTTGACTCAGAGTGTCACAGAGTGAGATCAGAGGCACTCCCTCACACTGATTGGACTGCTATATTAAGAACTCACAGAGGGCTTATAAAGTCCGCACTGACACATCATGTTTAATGCTGCTACCTATGCAGTTGAGGAGTTCTGGAGAGAGTGCGCCGGGACGGGACCCGTCTGTTGTTAGTATCCCCGTTCTGGCCGGGCCGAGTTGGGTCTCAGGCCTGATTTCTCTCCTCGACGGCGCTCTAGGGGAGATTCCCGTCAGGAGAGATCTGCTCTCACAGGCGGAGGGCGCGCCCCCGCCCGGAGCTGTGGAAGCTGTGGGTGTGGCCTCTGAGGAGGCACAACTCATGACTTCCGGTCCCTCAACCGAGGTTGTTGAGACTATCCTCCATCCAGAGCTCCCTCTATGAGGAAACTGTATTTCTGCGGAGACCGCCAGCCCGACCCAGCTAACTGCCCGTTTGGTACAGTTCTGGAGTTCCTGCAGGCCTGTTTATCCGCAGGGTTGACCCACTCCACCCTAGAGGTCTTCGTGGCGGCCATTGCGGCCTACCACGCCCCTCTCGGTGGCCATTCAGTGGGAAGACACCCTCTTCTTACATGTTTCCTCTGCGGTGCGCTGAGACCGAGGCCTCCGGCCAGAGAAGCTTATGCTAAGTGGTGGATCAGGATGCTATTCCATAGACTCGAGTCCTCTGATCTCCCCTATCCTTTGGGGGTCAAGATTCACTCCTCCAGAAGTTGGCCTTCGGGATGGCGGGCCCCGCCTACTTCTCTCGCCCTAGCTGTGCAGTCTTCCACACTAGGCAGAGATTTGGAAGTCTGGCGGCGTGGGCATTCTCGTTCCCCTAGCGTTTCCGACGCATCTCGAGTTCCTGAAGAGGAACGTCTCAGGTTACGTATGTAACCCTAGTTCCTCGAGGGAACGAGACGCTGCGTCTCGGTGCCATACTTCCGGCATCCCTGCCAGCGCTTGCCTCATTCCTGAAGCTGACGCTGGCTCCGCCGCACGTGCTTTTATAGCTTCCTGGTCATGACGTCACCCGCCCGTGACATCCCGCTCAGCTATTGGACTGATTTCACATGTTATTCAGAGCGTGGTCACAGAAGGCGTTCCCCTAGCGTTTCCGACGCAGCGTCTCGTTCCCTCGAGGAACTAGGGTTACATACGTAACCGGAGACATTTTTTCCGCTACTTTCAGGTCGTGTAACACTTGATGGCGAGTATTCGTAAAAAGCTGGTGGTGGTTGGGGACTGGGCATGTGGGAAGACTTGTCTGTTAATCGTTTTCAGCAAAGATGAATTTCCAGAGGTTTATGTGCCCACCGTTTTTTGAAAACTACGTCGCGGACATTGAAGTGGACTCCAAACGAGTTCAGCTGGCTTTATGGGACACGGCGGGGCAGGAGGATTACGACCGACTTAGACCCTTGTCCTATCCGGACACCGATGTCATCCTCATGTGCTTCGCCGTGGACAGTCCGGACTCTCTGGAAAACATTCCTGAAAAGTGGGTGCCGGAAGTGAAACAATTCTGTCCTAATGTGCCCATAATTTTGGTGGCGAATAAGAAAGATTTACGGAGCGATGACAATGTGAGAAGTGAGCTGTCGAGAATGAAACAGGAACCAGTGAGAACGGAGGACAGACGCGCCATGGCTGCTCGCATCGGAGCGCACGACTACATGGAGTGCTCTGCCAAAACCAAAGAGGGGTTCGGGAAGTGTTTGAGACCGCTACTCGAGCATCCTTACAGAAGAGACCAAGACCACCCACTGGCTGTTTGAACTGTTGCCGACTGATGTGAAAAAAATAAAATAAAAAATAAACCTATGACACAAAGGTGAGGGTTCACGGGACATCCTCCTCGAAACGATTGCTTTTTCGCGTATGCCATCAGCAGAAACGACTTTTTACTCATAGAACACACTGTGCATGTATTGTGAGGTCTCTATTCCAAAGCTATCTAATGTCATATGGGCCAATTCAGGCTGGGCACTGGACTGACTTTTGCTAAATTATGTTAATGGCTTAAGGACTGTGGCACCGATGATGGTAATGGATGGTAAAAACATTATTTATTTTTTTTATCTTTTCAGTTCTTCATTGTATGGTGTATACCAGTGTAGGATCTTACTTGAGTAGAGAATTCTTATTTGATTCTTTTAGGACATGAACCACATTGTGCTGAATTGCATGATCAGAAATAGAAAGCAATTGATGTGTTTATCATGTTCATTGTGATGTTGTTTTCTGTTAATAAATTAAAATACACTGGCAGGTACTTTCTCAAAACAGAAGTTCACATGTGCTCTGTATGGCAACAACTGTTTTAGGTGTAATCAAGGTGTTAGTGTTGAACAAATGTTGCCTCCTTTAAGTATAAATATTATACCATAAGAGAATGAATGTTTCAGGGAATGAATCAGAACTGCTGAGGACATGCCAATGTGACTGTTTTTTAACACATTTTTAATGTTTATTTGGTCTGACAGTGGCGCTATTCAGTTTATGAAATATACTGAACAGGCCTTAATCAAACTATTTTAAATATATTTTGAGTTTGAACAAGCTGTTTTGCTTTCATTTTTGTGAATTTGCTGCTTTCAGGTATTTTTGGGAAGATTCAAAGACATAGGTAAAGCAATGTGAATATATGGGTGGTTTTGCTTGCAAATTATAAATATATATTTGAAAATTATTAAAGTGTCTGATAGAGATAGAGTGTCCGGGAGTGACCCATCCTACTGTATCGTTCTCAGCTGGTCTTGCTTCTGTGTGGCACAAGTGGTAGCCTAACCCAATTTAAAGTTTTTCTCAATCAATTTGACACTTTTCTCCAATGCAGTGTACTTGTTCTCAAAACAATTAGCACAGCCATCCAAACACAAAATTATCTTAACCAAACAGTTCAACTTTAGGGAAGATTCAAAGACATAGGTAAAGCAATGTGAATATATGGGTGGTTTTGCTTGCAAATTATAAATATATATTTGAAAATTATTAAAGTGTCTGATAGAGATAGAGTGTCCGGGAGTGACCCATCCTACTGTATCGTTCTCAGCTGGTCTTGCTTCTGTGTGGCACAAGTGGTAGCCTAACCCAATTTAAAGTTTTTCTCAATCAATTTGACACTTTTCTCCAATGCAGTGTACTTGTTCTCAAAACAATTAGCACAGCCATCCAAACACAAAATTATCTTAACCAAACAGTTCAACTTTACTGCAAAATGAAGCACTGAAATTTTTTCTAGTAATGCATTTATTATAAGTAAATATTAACATCAAATCTATAGGTTTGTTCTCTATTGATTTTAAAACACATTCAGCTGTAGATGCACAAATATACTAATGAAAAACATGTTTATTGCCATTCTTCTACAGGGAGTTTTGTTTTACATATATTGTGTATATCTAAACGAAATAAAAATTGTTCCAACACCAACACCTGCTATCACCCATGAGCAGTGTTGCGGGTAACGCATTACAAGTAATGAGAGTTACGTAATCAGATTACTTTTTTCAAGTAACTAGTAAAGTAATGCATTACTTTTTAATTTACAAGAGAATATCGGAGTTACTTTTTCAAATAAGTAACGCAAGTTACTTTTTTTTCCAATTTATTGATTGACAGCTCTCCTGTCCCCATGTTGAGAGAAATCAGAAGATGCTACTGTAGTTCTAAAATAAATATGAATATGCATTAATTCATCTCACTCACAAAATAAAAAAGCAGATTCATTCCATAAAATGAATTTAAAAAATGCAACTCAGAATATAATGCAAACCTGCAATAATGAAATGTTAAACACAAATATCCTTTATGTATTTAATCCCATTCTATTAAACAATGTCTTTGCTTCTGACCTTCGAAGATCCAGTTCAACCGTACTAATAAGCTCTGGACCACTATGTCAACCACTATTCCATTTAAAATAATCTTGATTGTCCACCTGAATGATCTCAAACTTAAATTCTGAAAAATGTTTGGACATTTACAGTAAGTAACAGAAGTTGTCCCAGGAGGACTAAGAATCTGTACTATCAACAATCAAAGTCTCCCCCCATGAGAGGCCATGATTTTTACATGGTCAATTAGGGTAATTCTGATTTCATTTGAAATTCATCTGCACCTTCTACCTCTCCTTCCACCCTGTTGTCCACTTTCTCTCAGTCCATGTCTTCTTACAGTTTCTGCTCTTGTTCTTTCCAATACACCAATACCCTCCTCTCTAGTCATCGTTTCTCCCTTTCCTTCTCCTCTCCTCTTTACTCACATCTTCCTCTCTGCTCATCTCTTTCTACCTGTTACACTCTTCATCTCTCTCATTACACACCTTTCTCTACCCACTCCACCACCTTATAGACTTACACCTCTTTCTTTACTGCCCCCCCTTTATTTTTATTTATTTTATTTTTACTATTTATTTATTTATTGCATATTCGTTCTTGCTCTTTGAATACTTTCCCTTTTATTATTACTCTGAAGCAATTGTGATAAATGTGTAAACGATTAGGAGAACTGCATTTCTTGTGTTGAGTGATTAACCGAATAGTTGTCAGTTTAGAGCTAATCGAAAATACACAATGTTCATTTGATAGAATGACAAATTACAGAGTTTTATTTGTTGCATTTGGACAAATGGTACATAAAAGTTTGTGATTTGTGTAAAATGTTTTTTCAGATATTTTAAAGTATTGGTTGGTTGCATTAACTATTGTGAAAACAGTTCAGAATTGTGTGCACATTGTTTTGAGAAAATTATTTGCATGATTTGTAATTTGTATGAAATGAATGAAAACATTCAATCTGTTTAGGAAAATTACAAAGTATTCAGATCACTGTTTTAACTGTTTTGAGAACAGTGACCTCATGAGTTTGGAGAAATTTGTCAAATCGATTGTGAAAAAGGAAAGTTTTTTTTTTTAACAATTTTGTTTAAATAGTATTTGCGCTTGACACCAGAGTGTTGATGTGCACACAAACTGGCTAGCTTTATTGTCTGCAGAAATTATTGGGGTGTGTTTGTTTGTTTATTATTTATGCATATTTTACAGACATCACAATAAATATTAAGGTCCTTCAAAGAGAATATCACCTTAAACCTGGAATACACTACCTGATTTTTGCTCCGATTTTCTGCCAATTTACTGTCTGGCGAAGTTGACACTAGTTGCCGAAAGTCAAAGCCAGTCTGCAGATTTGTGTTGACAGATTCCATAGAAAATCACGTAGTGATGGTAACAGACTCAGATTTTTTAGCTTCAAACTCTGATTTCACCCAGTTGGAGGATCTCAAACATGTCTGATATTTTCAACCAATTTTAGAAGACATATTGTTTTCATTTGTCAAGTGTCTCCTAGCAACAATGCACACATTTCTGAATTAGTTTTCTGATTGGAACCATAGGTATGTATACATGTATACATAACACAGTCGTTTAGTGTATGATGGCCAGTTTCCCTCTGTCACTATTTACAAAGTCGGTGTGTATGATGCTAGTGTTTTGAAAATATGTTCAGATTTTAAAAATCATTAGTGTATTCCAGCCTTTAGTTTATAGTTAGTGAACTAATTTAAACATTTAGTAACACAATGTTTTATTTTTGTCTTATTTGAAAATTCTACTTTTATATTATAGCTGGTTTAACTTTTATTCATGGTAAAATTTAGTTGTAAAAAAGTCATAAAAAATATTATATAGATCAGTAAGTAACATTTTGGCTTGTGTCTAAATAAAATATAGGGTGAATTCAGATAAAGTGGGCCATTTAGCCTTGTTTGTACTGCTCAAAGGGTCTACACTTTCAGCATAACAATGGTCTTTAAATAAAGAGACACTATCTCTTTAAATTATAAAATAGTTTGGCTGATGCAATATAACCTTGGTAATTGTGGCTGCACCTCAAAGGAGGACTCCATCATGAAAGGTAGTAAGCTCTTTGACATTCACATTTCCATTTCTAACTTGTAAGGTTGCTTAGTAAATGTAAACTAATATAATTGTGACAGTACTTGTGTTATGTGTTACTGTAGTTAACATTAAAATGCAAAAAATACATTTCAAAAAAGTTTTTCTTGTAATGTGTGTGGCGGAACGGGAAAAGGCGTAACTGGGAAAATGAAACCAAAACAATTGTCATGACCGCCAGCGAATAGGAACGGGAGTCTAATTTGGGAAGGAAGTGATGTGGCTATATATATATGTAGTGGAACAGAATCAAAAGATGGCGGGTTAGTGGAGAGTGAAGAAGGAAGAAGTCGCGAGTGTCTAGAGTGAAAGTTTACCGGTTTCAGCTGAGCGCACACTCACGCACTGTGTAATGCTGGAGCGAGCGCCGGAGGGTTTTAAAGAGATCATTATCCGAGCTGCAGGACCAGCGCAGAGGCGTGTGAGGTTTCAGGAGCTGAAAGGAAGTGTCTTTACCTGGATGCCTTTTCCTTGGAGAAAATCCACCTCCATTCGCTGTTTGAAAAACTGTTTCCCCAAGTTCATGAACACACAGCACCCCCAACCGAAAACATCTTCCCGCGCCCCTGCCCTTATGTGAATATTTTCTTTTCCATCTTAAGATATTTATTCGTCTAATGGTCTGGGCGACTGGAATTAATCTTGTTTGTATTCCTTTGTTTTTTTCCCTCCTTTTTTATTGGTTTTGAATTGTAACTGAGAACGGACTATCGAAACTGCTGAGGTGAATGCAGAGTTAGACTGGAGTCTCGCAATACCACCGATTTATTGTATAGTTTGTTTTTTGACTGATGGATGTGCAATGTATGTTCACCTTCTTGTGAACTAATTCTTTTTTTTTTCTCTCTCTCTTGTGAAAAATACATATGATCAACGGAACTGAAAACTTATTTCCCCTGTGAATTTATTTCCTGCTTTGCATTATATTCTCTGCTGGTGTGATTTTGTAT